ATAGGCAAAGAGGTCTCAAAATAATTTGGTCTTGTGCCACAGTGGCTCAAGACAGTTGTAGATAAGCATTGTGCAGCTAGACATTAGGTTCTCAGGGGGGTGTTTATTCCTGGGATAATGTCAACTCCAACTTGTGTGGAGTCTAAGCCCGTCCCACCGGAAGAGAAAACAGTCAGTCGCCCAGAGTAACATGTGCTGGAGACATAGAGGCTCTTTGAAGAGAAGGTGGTGAGGTTGAACCTGGGCTGAGGCTGTGCCTTGAACTACATGGTTGAGAAGAGAAGCCACTTCCCTTTGATGATCTGTTTTGTGGGTCAAGGTTTAGCTCGGATCCCCTCAGAAGTAGAACTGTGGCCCGCCCCTTCCAACCTGCTCTCAGGCTCCCTCCTCTGCCAAACCAGGAGTCCAGGCCCAGCACTAAAATCAAACTAACACGAGGCAGGATGTAATTAGGTTCCTGAGGAAGGTGTTTTTGTTGTCGTTATCTTCCAATTCAATAAAATAAGCATTTACTTTGTACCTCCTAGGCGCCAGGGAATGTAACAGTGGGAGAAGGTTACCCGCAACAATAATTCCTAATAGTTATTGAGTTTTACTGCCTGCAGGCAGCACTCTAAGTATTTTATGTATTTTATATAAAAATATATCTAACATATAATACCTGCATTGGAGTTGGGTGGGGAATTGGCCACTTAGCCAACTGAATGGGCAGTGCTAGCATTAAGTGCCATAAGGGTGTAAAAGACAGAATGCTACTAGAGCACAGAGAAGGGCTGGGAGGAAGGTAAGAGGAGACACGGAAGCTACAAGTGTAAGGATTAGCTGGGTAGAAGAGGGATGGAAGAAAGAGCACAAACAATCCATGATGCTATGAGAATGATGGTGATCAAACCCAAGAAGGGAGAAAAAGAGAAGAAGTAGAAAGAAAAAAAAACAAAACTTACCTAATAAAAGAGAAACATGCAAATTAACCATCACTCCACTATGCACCCACAGCCAATCAGAGTGAGTATGCAAATACTCAACAAAGATGGAGTTTAATTTGCATATGCAGGCACACCGCAGTGTGAAGCCTGCTATGAGGGGGGAGTGGTGGAGGGAGCTACTGGAGTGGTGCTCCAGACAGAAGTGAGGACTTGCCTGCTCCCAGGTGGCTGGGAAGTGAGGACATGCCTGTTCCAGGGATTCCGGGGGAGCAGGTACTTGCCAGGTCCTGGGCAGCTGGGAGTGAAGCCAGGGGCCTATTCTTACAAGAATATCATGCAACAGGCCTCTAGTAAGATATAAGAGACTTAGATTCCCAGGTACCATCAATACAACTATCATGAAGATTTTCAACACATATATTTCAGTTATGACTTAAAAGGGACTGTGAGAAGCAAACAAACAGGAATACTACAGACTTTGTTGGCGTTGCCAAAAAGCAAGGCATCCTTTCTCCAGTCTGCAGGTTGGCTTTCCTTCTCTCACCTGTCATTCCTGCTTGCCAAGGTAAACATATCATAAAGGAAAAATGTCTTTCTGTCTGCCTAAGATCTTATAACCCCTTTGAAAAAGGTACCAGAATCTAGCACACGGGCAAAAGTGATGCTGTAAAGAAGTCAGGTCCCTTGGGTTCTTTCTTTGCAGTCAGAGCTCACAGGATGGAGACAGACATGGGCATGTGGTTGAAGGGCAGAGATGAGGCAGCACAAGGACAGGGTACATGCCACTTGAGTGACCCAGGTCTTTTCCACACTAGCCTGAGGGGGGTGCTCCTCATAGTACCCATTCCCACTAGGTAGTGAAACACTCAGATGGAGAAAAATATATCAGTTCAGTTCATTCACTATGTGCAGTGCCTGTGGACACCATCATCAAGGATCTCCCACTCTATCAGGAGCATGGACATGCAAACAGTAATAGTATATTACGTGTACAGGATGGTATAAAAGTGTGGGGACACAAAGCAGTGAGACAACATGTGGGGTGAGGATTGACAGGGAGAGTTACAAGTGCAGGAAATCCTCCCCAAAGGTTAACATACTTGAGTGTGAGAGAGAAGTAGGAGCTGTTTTATGTTTTCATTATCATTGTATATATTTAGTTCTTTCCCAGAGATGTAAATACCTGGGGTAATGAAGGAAGAAAGGGGGATGTGAGGCTAGGAGAAGAGGTGGGAAGTGAAATATTGTGTGAACACATTTGTAATGTCTTAAGAAATGGAAGATAGGCATGGCTAGTGTGGCTCAGGTGACTGGGCATTGTCCCATGCAACAAGAGATTGCCAGCTTAATACCCAGTCAGGGCACATGCCTGTCTTGTGAGCTTGATCCCCTGTAGGGGGCATGCAGGAGGAAGCTGATCAATATTCCTTTCACATCAATGTTTCCCTCTCTCCTTCTCCCCTTCTCTCTCTTAAAAAAAAAGAAAAAAAAGAATGGAACATATATACTGGTTTGAAGTCAGATGTCTCTCTCTCTCTCCCTCTCTCTTTCTCTCTCAAACATACACACACACACACACACACACACACAGACTTAGGGAGAAAGTCAGTGAAAAGATTCAAGTTAGTGCTGTGTGAGGTCTAAGCCCTTGGGAAAATTCTTCAAGGAAGAATCATCGAAAGCAGAATAAGGTGAGAAGACCTTAGTAAAACTTTTCCTTGCAAGTTAAGTTTCTAGAAAATGTGTGTCTTCTTTTAGCATTATCATAGCACCTGACATGGGGGGGATCTTTCTCTATAAAGCCAACTGGGGGAGAGAACAGGAACACAAACATTGGGCAGATGTTATGTATATGTAAAATTTCATTTATTTCTTATGACATCCTATAATATTGGGTATGAAAGGCTAGATCCAGTTCACCACTGACTGGAAATATCTATATTGATTTAGAGAGGAAGGAAAAGGGAGAGAGAGAGAGAGATAGAAACATCTATGATGAGAGAATCATTGGTTGGCTGCCTCCTGCATGCTCCCTACTGGGGATCAAGCTTGCAACCTGTGCATGTGCCCTTGACTGGAATTGAACCATGACCTCCTGGTTCATAAGTTGATACTCAACCACTGAGCCACAAGGGCTGGATAGTGATTTGGATTTTTAAAACATTTTGCCTAAGGTCATGCAACTGATATAAGTCAGGCCTTTGTTCCAATGTGTAAGTTTTGTCCACTACAGAATGCTGCCCTGAAAGCATTAGCTAACACCATTACTTGAACAGGCAGGATTTAGACTGTCATTATTTCAGTGTTACTGAAGGCTGTCCATTGTTTACAACTTCAATTTTTATTTTTTATTTTTTTTTTTAGTCTAGTCCAGAGGAGGCTAGATTTTTTGGAGATCCTAGCCAGCTAATTATCTAACAGACATGCAATATAACACCTGCTCTTCAAGTTATTATTTCTTCTCTTTTGGTCAAGGAATAATTTGGATGATTAAAGAATCTATATATTCTCAGACTCTAAAACCCTTCAAGGGATATTTACCACCATTGATTTAAAAATCGAAATGCAAGTTTCTTGAAGCATCTTATCAAAGTATAATGAATCACTGTGCTTAAAATGCATATGAAATAGGTGCTGCAGGTATTACCATCTTCATCTTACATCCATCCATCCATCCATTCATCCATTCATTCATTTTACAAATATTTGTTCACAGACTTTAAAATTCTAAGCCCCAGAGAGACAGTTGATAAACCTCCAAGTCTTCTAAGTTAATGAAAGGCTAGAATCAGGGCTTCTGGGATCTGAATCTGGGCATTTTCTCACTAAATTGTTTTGCCTGCATCTCAATTGTAGTCTAGGCCATTTGGATACACATTTTTGATGCACTGGCTGATTTATTCATTTGTAGGAAAGATCTTGGTAAAACCAGTACCTCCTAAATCAACTCCCACTTGCCTCCAAACCCCCATGGAAATATGGCTGCTAGTAATGCTGTCGCTTCAGAACTCCTGAGGACTGCCACCAAGCAGCTTGTGCACTAACTCAGTGACAGGGGATGTGGCTGCTTAATCGCTGGGTGAAGCTGAATGCCTTCATTGCTCAGAGTGAAAGAGTCTTGTTTCTTATTTTCTTTAAAGACTGACAATTACTTTCTGGAATGACTTGATGCATTATCAAAACTTTCAGAGAAATTCAGTGAAACATTCCATAACAGAGCAAGTCACCCCCTATCTTTAGATAGAAAACATTTCTACAGACATACCCTGTACTTCTCAGACAGAAGATGTTGGAAAACACACAATTCTGCTCCAGCCAGTCTATGGATGAGCTCTGTGGCCCTGCTCCAGCCTGTCCCCTCCTCCACTTTCCCCACCAAAGACAGGATCCCTCTTGCCCATCCATCACCACTGTTTGTTATTGACCTCTATGAATAATAAAGTTATCTTGTTTTCATGTCTTGATTTTTTTTAATCCCTACCAAATTGTGTGCTTTCTAAAGGCAGAGCTCTTTTTTAATTAACATTTGAAACCTTGATACCCAACACAGCGCCTGGCACAAAAGCAGGCACGCAAAAAAGGTTTTTTGGAGGAAGACACAATGTATGATATGAAATCAGGGATTCACAGTCCTTGGTTAATTATGCATTCATTGTTTCTGTTCTTTTTTTTCTTTTTTTTCTTTTTTTCCATTTTAAAAGGGGACACCCTTTTCACTAAACACCTACACTTTACTCTCTTCCTTTCAGAATTCTAACTAAAAAAACACACCAAAAAACATTTTGTTCCTGCTTATGTATAAAACTAAGAAACTATTCAAGCATCACTTTTGTGATAGGAAAGGTGAACAGTTTCACCGTAACCAAAGAAAACGACCTGGAGGGGAGAGATCTCAGGGGCACTGACTCTGGTCTGGGGCCCGGCCATCCCAGCGTGAACCACAGCCCTTCTTGGGGAGGGTTTCCAAAGCGAACCTGCCTGGGGGTGGTGCGGGGACCAGGAAGCAGCCTTCTTAACTTCTGAAGTAACAAACAGAGCGAAAGCCCTAATGATCACAACACAAATCCATCTATTTTAAACAGCATAGGGGCTTTCTGCAGCCGTCTGCCCACCCCTTTTCCAGGTTTTCTTCGCCAAGAGGGGGTCCTCATCATCCTTGGAGCTGCAGAAGGTGAGGTCAAACTCCACCCACCCCATCACGACCAGGTAGAGCAGCCCATAACACACCAGGAGGAGGAGGATCACCTGCAACAGCTCCACCAGGTCCTTGGTGATGCTGTGGGGCGGGGCCAGGTGGGACCACTGGCCAAGGCAGTGGCTCATGCAAGCCTCCTGGGAGAGGTAGTTGTTTCTATTGCCCCAGCACCCTCCATAGATAAACGGTTCACAGGACTTGTTCTTGGCATCAAAGTACCAGCGTGGTAAGGATTCATGGCAAGGCCCGGTGGCCACCCTGGCAGCGCAGTATTCTTTGTAGTCGAAAAGATCGCTGGAGGGGCCATCAAAACCCTGCCTTCTGGGGCCACTTGGGCCAGAGGAATCTGCCGGGTTCCTGCTGGTGGCCGCATGGTCCATGGTGCTCCCTGGGCTGTCAGCACACTTCTCCAGACACTTCTCCTGGGTCAGGTAGTTATTGCTGTTCCTACTGCAGCCTCCATACACGAACTGCTGGCAGGCCCGGCAGGTGGCATTGTACCACCACCTGTGAAGGGAGGCCAGGCATCTCCCCACCACCTTTGGAACTCGGCAAAAGTCGGGGATGTTGCGTTCTTCATTGGCCGCCCTGACCCCAAAGAGGAGCAGCGATACCAGCAGGGCGAGCAGCGCCATGATAGGCTCCACCGGGTCTCAAGTTCAGGTGCGGATGGATGCTCGCTTTCAAGTCTCCGCAAGCCCCTCTGGTGTCTGGACTCAGCCTGCTCCGCCCACAATGAGGAAGAATGGCCAGGCTCACCCCTTTGCCCCCAGGGACACCCTGGGACTCTCCAAGGTGCAGAATGGAGCCGCAGGTCCCAATCAGCGCTGGGTGGGGGTGGAGCCAATGGCCGCCTGGGAGGAGCTATAGCGCAGGTGGCGGTTACCCGAGGGGAGGGGGCGGGCGCACAGAGCGCAAGCGCTTGGCTCATGATGGACTGTAAGAAGCAACAAGCCACAGGCTTTCCATGTTCCCAGTGCTTTCCGACCACGCACAGAGCTCTGTGGTCAAAAGGCTCTACCTTACAGAAGAGGCAAGGAGACATGTCAGTAAAGTGAAAGAAAAGCATGGACTGGCCCAGCAGCTACTAGGCCAGTCCCCACTCTGGACAAAGCACTAGCTGATGACTAGGGATGAAAGGAAGGACAGGGTCCTGGAGGAGCCTAGAAGCTTGGTAGGAAGAGGCTGGCCCATTATTAGGAAACTAAAGAAAACCAAGGGCCTAAATGCAAAGGAAGACTGAAACTCAGAAAATTAAAAAAAAAAAAAAAGTATACAAATACAACTCTGGTAGAGGAATCCACATGCAAATCAATTCTGGGAAATAGCAACATGAGCAGTCGGTGAGCAGTGGGGTCCTTAACATTTAGATGACGTGTTCTGGTCAGGGGGAGGGGGGACTGGCCTCTACTGGATAACTTATTCCTTACTCGGACCCCAGAAAGTAAGCACTGGATCCTTGTACAGATACAACCTTGGGACCTTAGGAGATAACCACCAGCTTTGGCATCTGGCAGAGATGTATCTGGGGTCTATTACTTAACTGTGTGACCTTGGTTAAGTCTTGGCAAACTTCAGGATTTTCACCCGTAATAGGGGTGAACAATAGTACCCACCTCCCTAGTGAGGCTGGTAAGGCCCCAATTAGCAGCACAGTGTTCAACATAGAACCCACAAAGCTTGACTGTTTCTTTAGTTCAAGACCACACAGCAAGGGCTAAAGCAGGCTTTCACCCTCCTGCAATGGCCCCCCCCGCAGCCGGCACCCCCACCCAAAGTGAACCTGCCGGGGGGAGGGGGGGCAGGAAGCAGCCTTCTCTTAGCTTCTGAAGTAACAGAGCAAAAGCCCTAATGACCACAACACAAATCCATCTATTTTAAACAGCATATAGTCCTCTTTATTCTGAAGCTCATGCTCTTACACGTCTCTTGCCTTTCTGGGCAAAATGAGAGATCTGACATTAACTGGGTAGCTGATATGGGCCAAAAGGCAGGATACAACTCTTGTGATCACATTATTTGGGCATTTCTATCCCAACTTGAACTGTGAACCAAATATCTATCTATCTATCTATCTATCTATCTATCTATCTATCTCTATATTTATATGTGTATACTTACATAAATATAAATAAAATAGTTCCTTGTGGCTACAGTAATAAAAACAATGAGCTAGTAAATGACAGATAAAGGGAGAAATCAATTAGAGCTCTTTCCCATGTTTTTGACGTTGGAGAGTAATTCTGCACCTGAAGGCAGGAGGATGACATTAGTTTGGGCCCTATTGTGTCGGAGTTCCTGGCGATCACACAAGTACAGAGGAAAGTGCAAATGGGAACGACATCACAAAGGCATCGTCAACAAGAACTGACTACACTCGGGATAAGGCAGGAGGTTTTTTGAGCAGGAAGGCAAGACATCAGAGCAACCACAGTGCAAGAATGTATGGCGATTACTCCAGATTCCTTAAACAACACAGATCAACACCGAAACCAAAGCAGCAGCAGAGGCAGGCCTTGGGGAGAACGAACTCGCAGTTTATGTCAAGAAACAGAACGCAAAACAGGGCTGGGACCACTTCAGGAGACCCATGTGGCTGCTCGGAAGTAGAGCTGAAGTAATATTTGAAGGACTCAGTGAGAGCAGTAGAGACAGATGGTAATGGCCTTCCCTCTCAGCAGCCAGGCTCCTGCTCGCCCGGAGAGGACCAGATTCTTATATAACACAGAGACCCTTTGCCTGCCCTCAGGAAGGACATGCTCTCCTGGGTCCTCCCTCTCCTTTTCCTGTAGCTGCCTAAGCCAAGGCTTCACCCTCCCACCCCAGAACCAAGTCTTCAGTCATGTGTCATTTATATTTGCCCGGCCATGACACTTATCTGTGTGGGCAAAAGTAGGTTTACAGTTGTGAGTATGAGAAACACAGAGTTTATTCTTGTATTATTATTTATTTATTTATTAATTACTAGAGGCCTGGTGCACGAAACTCATGCACAGGTGGGGTCCCTAGGCCTGGCTGGCAATCAGGACCAATCAGGTTCCCCACCTCCCTGCCTCTTCCTTCCCTCTCGATCCACTGCCACCACCTCTTAGTGGTCAGCACATGTCATAGCAAGCAATTAAACTCCCAGTCTCCTAGTCGAACTCCTGAGGGGACACTTTGCACGTTAGCTATATATATATATATATATAGACTAGAGGCCCAGTGGATGAAAATTCATGCACTGGGGGAGGGGGGTATCTCGCAGCCCAGCCTGCCCCCTCTCACAGCAGTCTGGGAGCCCTCAGGGGATATCTTTAGCCACAGTCTGGTCTCTCTCTGAGGGAGGTGACACCCCCATCACACCACTGCTGCTGCCACTGCTGGCCGCTGCTGAGCCTTGGCCCGGCCCTCACAGCAGCTGCTGCTATGCCATCTGATGAACTTTGAACTCAAGAGAAAGCAATATATAACTAACCATCTCCAATATATAACTAATATTCCTAAATGAAAATTGCTATCAAGTTTACCATCTCCAAGTCTTAATAATTATTCACTATAAGCAGAATCCTCTGATCTCATATTTGTTTTAAGAGACAACTTTCTGAAATATCCCCAAACACTATAGTATTGTACTTTAAACTCATTTGTACTATGGCTGATTGCATAGTATGTGGCACAACACTGAGATATTGTTGAAAATCCTCTCCAAGAAGAACTTGCCCATCAAATGCAACATTCAAATTCATAACTTCTCTTAGCAATCTGTCTATGGCATTTATAGCATGACTGGATGCCATGGTGCATTCATCAATAAGAAGTTAGGCATTTTCAATGGGTTCAGCAACTTCACTCTATATATTGAGTCTAGAAATTGAAGTTTCATTTAATGAAATTTGTAATTTATATTGGGAATGAAAGGTTCTTCCACCGAGAAGTAAACTTGCAGCAATTCCTGTAGATGCTGGGCTTGAGGCGCCAGAGGTTTGAAGGCCAGCCACGCCTCTGAACGTGGTGGGGTCCCCTCTTGAGTGCTGGGCCAGCCTGGGCTACAGTCCACTGGCAGTTTAAAGGCTGGCCACACTCCCGATCGTGGTGGGGGTCCCCTCATTGTGACTGGTTGTTTGGTCATTTTGATCATGATGCCGCTTGGCCTTTTATTATTATGATTGTATTACTTATTGGTATTATTTTTCTTATCTTCTTCTTTTATCTCCTTACTTATGATGTATCTTCTAGGTAATGGTGGCTGGTAATTTAACCAACAACCCATCTGTAGGTCATTTTCCATACAAACAACTAGGAAACTTGCCTTTGCCTACCCCTGTATGTACCGCCAGTTGTATTATATTTCACAGCCTCCTTTTGGTCTTCATGGACTCCACACATATTCATTCGACCGTTATTGTCCCTAAGTCTGGCTGCATATTTTCTAAGCCACCAATGTGCACAAAAATGCACCTTCTTTGCTGGTAAAAATTTTACTGAACGGTGCCCCTGGTACTGCTTCTGGGGCAGATCTGGCTCTTCTGAAGGGGAACTTCTAATGCGAGTGTGAGAACACACATCCACAAAGAAGCTCCAGGAAAGAGGCCAAAGAGCAGGATCTGTGTACAAGGTTTCGTGGGGAATTGGATGAGGCCGTGGTTCCTTCCACTGTGGAGAGTGGGCACCTTGGCTAGTCTTAAAAATCGCCAGGTAAATAAGGGCAGAAGCTCCCTCCAAGCAAAGGACACAGCATGGGCTGATTTATTATTTTGGCTACTATGTCAAAACACTTTGGCAGCAAGTAGCAGAAAACCTGGCCTCGAACAGCGTAAATGTAAGGAGATGTATTATCTCACAGTGCAGGCTGCCCATAGAGAGGCAAGGCTCCAGGCAGGGTACAGCAGGGCTCTGACCCCACTTCACTGTCGCCCTGCCTTCCTTTGCGGGTTTTGCTTCATCAGCGGTTCCAGACATCACAGGCAGGCATGCCCGTGACTGGGGAAAGAGCAGGGACTTCCCCTGTTTAGTAGCAAGGGAACATTTGCCTTCTGTGCCCTAATAACTTCTCATCTCACTGGCCTGAATAGGGCCATGTGCCTGTCTCTAAGCCAGCCACCTTTAAGGCATGGAAGATGACCATGGCAATCTTACACTCCTTGGGACTGATACTCTCCCCCCAACCCCCCTCGTCTCGAGTGGTCACATTCCCATGTTCCCGAGAGAGGCTATGTGAATAAATTCAGTACTGCATCATCGATGAGGTAGAGAGCAGATTTTATGTGAACAGTCAACAAAGCCCGATACCACCACTCCCTGACTATAAGATTTTTTTATTTTATTTTAAAAGAGAAAGAACTAAAATGAACACAAAGCATGCTATGACGTGTACAGTAGGACCAGGCTCAGAAGAGGACTGTTTCTGGGCAAGAATCTTTGGTTATGGCCAGAGTGACACGGTGATAAAGAAAATCTGGAGATTTCAAGAGCTGGCTGCCCATGGGCTATCAGTTGCAGAAATATCAAAACATCTCCATGTAGTCATTAGACATGACTGGTGTGACTGAGCCCTGCCACGTCACATAACTCTGTGCTACTCTCGGAGTGTGTGCAGTGTCAGAGATGACAGTCACTGAGGTCTGCATGATGTGTGGTTTTGAGGATCCTAGAT